CTGGCAGCCTTGGGTCCCAGGAGCCTGCAAAGTTCCGGGACGTTTTCTGTTTCCGGCTGCCCTCTAAGAGCTTCAGTGTCCTTGACGTTTGCCACCTGAGGAAATTGCAGAGATGCCACAGCATGTGTCTGTGCCTCGTTCTATACATCTTAGGGACTTGGTCCCTTCACAGCTGCCTTCCAGACTGGGGCCCAGGGCCGAGGCGCAGTGACCACAGCCCTGAGAGTGACAGACCTGTGAAAGCCCCGCTGCGCGACCAGCAGCCATGTGCAGCAGCTCCTCTGACCTGGTGAGGAGACTGAGTCACAGAGACGTCAAGGACTCTTACACAGTGACGCAGGCAGCGAGTCCCAGGGCGGAGTCAGCTGAGTCTGTTCATGTCGTCCTGTGCCCTGGGCCAGGCACCTGTCACTCACAGTGCTCACAGGGGTGGTGGGGGACTGGCTCGAGCCACAGGAGCCCAGCCAAGCCAGCAGCCTAGCGCCAGGCCCTGCTGTTAAGGACGGGCCCTGGACCTGTGCAGACACTGGGGCCCCAGGCTGAGCAGCAGGGACAACAGGAAAGGCTCCCCTTCAAAGCCCTGGGCTAGGGACCCCTTTCCCAGCCTCCTGGCCATCACAGTGAGTCACACTGAGTCACAGCTAGGGCCAAGCTGGCCCGAGAAAGCAGCGGACTTCACCTCATGTTACCTTCCTCCACCCGGATCCCTTTGTCTGAGTAAAGGGATACCCACCCGGCCCCAGCCCTTGCCCAGCACCCCGTCCAGGGGCCCATCTGCCTGTCACCTGTACCATGGGAGCTGCGGTGACCACGTGAGCCTTGGCAGAGAGGGTCCTCTCCTTAAGGGCAGGAGTGGAGGTGGGGGAAGGAACTGAGACCACCCTAGGGTTCAGCACCTCACAGGAAGGGTTGAAAAGTTCTCTGCAAGTGGAAGTACCCATGATAGTGATCCTCTCTCTGCATGTGCTCCTCTCTCTGCACCCACGTGTGACAGCATACACGAGCATTGCCATCCAGGGTGGCTCCACCAAGTCGGGTGTTTGGTTTTTTTATTGGGGCGTCATTATGATTGATTGGTTTCCCAAGTGGCCATCTGTCACAGGCTGAGAAAATGACAGAAACCTCACCAGAAATCACATGCATAGTGTTTCTGGCTTGGCCATACCCACCCCAAGACTGTGCTGTATGGCCACATACCCCCTAGGATCTAGTGCGGTCAGCCTCTCCCCTCAACAAAGCACCCATCAACAAAGCCTTTTACTACCAGAGCCCAAGGACAAGGCCAGGCCTGTCTTGGAGCAAAGCCAAGCTCTTTACCATGAAACTGCAAATCCCTCCCAGATTTCCCTCTTTCACAACCTCCCAGATTCACAACTCAGACCTAAGTACACAGGATTCCCTGTGTCACCCTGACTCAGCCCATGCAAACTCTGAACTGGCTTCCAGATCTTCACCCCTGTCTGCCAGCTGCTCACTAGAGATCCAGTTCAGTGACATACGTTTATTGAGTAACTACCACATACTGGGTGCTAGAGTGGGCTGCATGGATGAATGCCAACCTCGAAGGGTTGCAAGCTCCTGAGTTATACAGGAAGAAGAGCTAGGGCAGACCAGGGGCTCAAAGCTCAGTGACTGGAGGAGTAAGTAAACATGCAATGATAACAAAGTGTCCTGGTTGGCACACGGTCAAGTGGACATTCTCTTGGGGAGGTGCACACAGGCATTGTTCCTCAGCACTGGTGAGCCCCAGGAGCACCAGAGTCAGCATCTGTCCTGGGGGGCCATGGACTAAGGGCCCAGCCAGGTCTCAGCTAGGCTGAGCTCCAAGCAGGAATCCTAAAAATGCAAAGAGTGGAAGGTGCTTGTCGGGAGGAATGTTGGTTTTGGCTCATCTGGTTTCCCCAGGGTCTTGCTGCCCCCTGAAAGCTCGCCTCTTCCTTCCCTGTGTGCTTAGCCTGGAGTTGCTGGTGGATGTGCAGCACGCCTTTGGCCTTCCCTTCTACCCAGGCCACCAGGGGCAGTTTTCCCTGGAGGAGAAAAGCCTGTCGCTGAAGGTCATGCAGTACGTTTCCAACTTCATCAGATCTGGGTGAGTGGACCTCGTCCTGAACCTACCCTCATGATCTCCCGCACCCCATCTCCATGTTCACATGGAGGCCACCTTTGGCATCGGTGGATCCACCCTCTTCTCCCTGGACAGGGATTGCTGGCCACTGCTCTTCCTGCCTTGGTCCCCTCTCTAGAGTCCCCTCTCCAGACCGCCTTTGCATAGATTGATCTTCATGAAGAAAGCTGCAGTTACAGCCCTCTCTCGTTCAGTCACATATGATGGCTCTAGATTGGGGCTTCCCAGTCTCAGGACTCCTCACCCTCAGCACTAGTCACCCAGGAGGCACTGACTGCATCCCTGGCCTCTACCCACAAGATGCTGGTGACACACACCCCCTCCTGCTCATGAGATCAAAATGTCTCAGACGTTACCCAATGTCCCTCTGGGGACCAGATCACTGGGAGGAGAGCCACTCTGCTCCTGGGGAGGCTGGGGCTGGGTGCTGGGGCCTTAGGATCTCAGCTGCAGTGACTCTGGGCCCTGCTGGTCTGCCCCTGGCCCTTCCTCCCAGCTGCCTCTGGTCCAGCCTAGGGCTCACTGTGCTCGTGCCTCTGCGGCCCGGGGGCCTGTGCTTCCTCCTCCTGGTGGTTGCTTGGTTCCGTTCACCTTTCACAGCATGTGTGTGGGTTCCCTAGAACTGTGCTAGACCCCTGGAAAGGTAACAAGGAAAAACCTCCTGGCCCAGCTGTGGGCGTTGACAGCCTGAAACAGTGAGACCGAGCCCACCCCCCAGCTGGACCAAGGAAGGCTTGGCACAGTTGCTAGGGAGGTTGAGCAGGAAAGTTTCCCCAAAGAAGTGACTTTGACCCTGTCCCTGGAAGGATGAGTAGAACATTCAGATGAATGAGGCATGGCTCACTGGAGAGGGGACTGGGCTGGGCCACTACCCGCAGGACCCAAGAGCACCTTGTATGGTGGGGGCTGGAGGCAGGGCCTGTTGGGAGAGGGCCTGGCTGGGGTCTGGGATGGAGCCCAGGTCTCAGCAGATGTGATGGCCTTTTCCTGGGGAAGCTGATTGGCGGTTGGCACGGTAGCAAGCATGCTCCCTGGCTCTGGGCCCAGCCTCCTGCCCAGGTCTTGACAAACAAGGGCATTCCAGAGACTGGCCATGTGTCCAGATCCAAAAGTGTCGTGTAGAAAGGAAACTGAGGCCTCCTGACGGCACAGACAGGAGGGCACACTGGGTTCTGAGTAATGCCACTGGGAGGCCAGCCCATGTCTCTTCTACAGGATCGGTCTGAGCGAGGCAAGCTCAGAAAGCCTTGTCCCTAAAGCTCTGCAGGGCCTGGTGCAGGTCACAGCCCACGAGCCAGACTGGGCGGGTTCACACGTGGTGTCAAGACCAAACGCACATAGGAAGCGATCCCAAGTGATAACAGCAGGCAGTTTTCCCTCGTGGATAGATATGGCCTTTCTCATTTACCAGAAATCCCAACTACCCACACGAGTTCTCACGGAGAGCTCCTGAGTTCGCAGCCCCCTGGCCCGACTTTGTGCCTGGAGCTGGTGGAGAGAGCTACAAGGAATTCAGCGCCCTGCTCCCCAGTCGTCAGGGCCTGAAGCAAACTGACTGCTCCTTCTGGTCCAAGTACATCCGCACTCTGAAGGCCTCTGCAGGTAGTGGGTCACAGCGTGGATGGGAGCTGGGGTGGGCTTGAGCTCCATCCTGCAGCTGGCTGTGTGGGGCCTGGGCTGCATGCCCCTGGCCGCGGGGTGCTGATGCCACGGCCCCTCCCAGGAGCTGTGCTTTGTCTGGGGAATCCTTTTGCCAAGAGCCTTCTGTTCTGATGGGGCTGGAAGGGGAAGCTAGAGACGGGTCCAAAGAGAGGCACTGGGGGACCAGACCTGAGAAGCAGTGTGAGGAGGTGGGACAGGGACCAGCATCTGGCTGGAAACCAGGATCACTGGTATGGGAGAAAGGAAAGACCCTGAAGCTCATCCTCACAGTCCTCAGGGCTGGATGGGAAGTCTCAGAGAGGCAGTTCTGGCCAGGGTAAAGGCAGGCCTCTCTACCTCTTCCTGTTGTGGAGTTTCTAAGGAGAGAGAATGGATCACAACGAAGGCATGAGGATACAGAGATAAACATGACACCCCGGAGAATCCTCTAGAAGAGTGGGGATGGTAATGACTTAACCAATCATTGCCCTTTAGCTCTCCTGGCACCATGCTGGAAGGCTGCTGCACCAGGGCTGGTGGGAGCTCAGGAGGGAGGACTCGCCTCTCCCTGCAGAGGCCCCCTGGGGAGGTGACACTTTGGCTCAGAAATTCAAAATGACGGTTCTTCAGGAAGGGAGGGACAGGAATGAATGAAGCATCAAACAGAAAAGTGACCTTGTCCAGCACATTTCAGATCATCAACTCTGCTTTTACCTTCCAAGGCGAGGTGGCTCTGGTTGACAAGTACCATTGTACCCTTAGCACGTCCTTACAGCTGGGAGATGAATCTGGTGTCCCAACCACCAGAAATGCCCCTCTGTGGGCCATTGGGAGGGAATGCCCACTGGAGGCTGGGGCATCTTTGGGTCAAAGGGAGAAGGACGGTGGGGAGGTCCTCATCTGCCCTGCCCTTCTGTTTCAGCTGGAGCCAGGGACGAGCAGCTGACGGTCGATGAAGAGGAGCAGACAGAAGACCTCCTGGGGCCCCGAGAGCCAGGCCCTAAGAGCTACAGCAAGTGACCAGCCCCTGAAACACCCACCCACCCTGCAAACCCCACCCGAGTCTGCCCACCACATTCCCCTCATTCTCTAGAATAAGCCACTTGCTTTCAATAAAGTGTCTATTTGCAGTGAAGCATCGCTGACTGAGTTGTGATTTCAAGGAAATTCTTGGAAAACGCTGCACTGGGACTTAGTGATCTTCCCGGTGTTTGAATTCCAGTTCCTAGGCTTCAACAAATATTTATGGAGCATCCAGTGGGCACCAGGCCTGGCACTGAGTGCTGGGGAAGAAGGAGCTCGCACCTCTAGGAGGAGAGAAAGCCAGACAAACAGAAGACGGCGACACAGAAAACAGGGACCTACTGAGGGCAGGCCCCAAGTGACGAGGTCCCACCTGAGTAGTGGGAAAGATTTATTAGGGAAGGTTCAGAATGTAGGTAGGAGACCAACTCCAGCAGGAGCAACAGTGAGCTCTGAGTCAAGGCAGAGAAGGTGGAGATGGGGGAGCAGCAGAAACATGGACCCAGCAAGACATAGAACCAGCTGTAGAACTTGGTTCCTGTGAGAGGGAGCAGGTGCAGAAAATAGGGCTTCTGTAGCTTTCGGGTCCTGAATAAGCAACTGATTAACTGATTTTCTCATTCACCTTCCTAAGGGACTCACTTGTGAAAGCAAATCTTCTGTTTAAAACTCTCTCACCCACCCGACTCTCCTCCTCCCCTGCACCCTCCACACCCCCCAGAGTAAGAGCAGGTGGAATTAGTTATCAGTCTCTGTCCTTTACACGGTGCATCAGGAAATGTGCTCACACCTATCATTTCAGTTGAGTTCAGCCCAAACTCAGTGATGATTTGTAGGCAGGGTGAGGCTCAGGAAGGCTCGGGGTGTGCTAAATACGCACCTTAGACTCTGAGGGGACCAGATTTTGACTCAGGACTCTAGGTGAAGGGAACATCCCCCCTGGAAATAGCACAGGAGGCTTCTCCTCACCAATACCTTGTCAACAGACCTGGGTGTAGGACCACACTTGGCCAGGTGTTTGGGTGACCTGCAGTGCACCCTCTGACCCAGTGGTTCCATCCTAGGCCTTTATTAGACTCACCTGGGAACTTTTACAAATCCTAATGCCCTGACCACATACAGGCCAGTAAGAGCATAATCCCCAGGTGCTGGGGCCCAGGCATTGGGAGTGTCAGTGCATAATCAAGGAAGGACAACACCTTTCTATCCCTGGGCTTGAGTTTCCTCACCTGTAGAATGGATTCAGTTAAGCTTTCTGGTGACCAGCACTTACCAGGTATAAGATGGAAGCAATTTTGGTTTTCCCACCATTCTACATCTGTGGCAGCCAGAATTACGCACCCCCCGCAGAGCTTTATGAACCCCAACACCCAGAAGGTTTTAGATGGTGTTACAGTTGCAAATCAGCTGAGCTTACCTGACCCAGAATTACTCAGATTAACCCAACATAATCCAAAGAATCATTAAAAGTGGATTAGAGAGGCAGAGAAGAGGACCAGGGACAGGATAGCAGGAGAAGAACTTGGCCACATGTTGCTGATTTTGACAATGGAAGGAGTGCACCATGGTCCCAGGAATGTGGTCAGCTTCTAAGGCTGGAAAAGGCAAGAGAATGGATTCTCCAGAAAGGAACGTGTCCCATTAACCACCTGATTTTAATCACAGTAGAGATTCACTTTAGATTTCTCACCTACAGAACTGTAGCACAATACTATGTGTTGTATTAAATCTATGTTTGGTAATTTGTTATAGCAGCCACAGAAATCTAATACATCATTATACCTGTTTGGGATGAATGTCATATCCTGTCCTTAGATCAAACCTCTGGCATAGCTAGCTTATTGTTTTTTCTGATAATAAAAAAAATCCACTCCAGTGTAATAGCAAACCCCCCAAATTCATCCTCAACAGCCTTGAAAATGCATAGTTTACATTCTTCCATACGGTTGGATTCGGGGGATGGACCATGTTGGTGGAGCTGGTTTTTGGCCACCCACTCGGAAGCCCAACAGGTGCGTGCACTCTGGCACTGCTGGATGACATCTGCTATTTTGTTCTTGACCTACAAAACCTGAGATTAAAAAGCATCCCATTTAACATCCTGTTTTGATAATAATACCTACTTGGCAGATTTGCCTGTTGATTAAAGATGCGGATGCGTGTGAACGAGAACAGCACAGTGCAATTCACAAAGCCCCCGTAGTTCACCGCGGTTTCGAGACGGGTGAAATGGGAAAGCCGAGGGCTCCAGAGGCCAGGCCCCTTAGCCCCTGCCCTGGACCAGCTCTGGAAATTGGAGACAGAAAAGACAATATGCAGTTACAAAGGCCTCAAGGGAGAAGACCCAAGTCCCACTAAGATGAGCAGGGAGCGCAGGCCAGGCCCCAGAGGCAGCCCTATCAGAGCTCCAGAACCCCCGGCTAGTGGCCTTCCTCACAGCCTACCGAGATTCCCCCAGGTCACGGAGATGGCCTACCCCAGCCCCAGATGGGCTTGGCTGGGTACTTCCTGGCAGCCCTGAAAGCATCATAAGCTCTTTTCTTCCTCTGTAAAGGTCAGGAAGGTCACAGCACTCAGTATCAAGGTCAGGGTCATTCTAAAGTCAGGAAGTGAATGGGACATCTCCTCACATTGAGATCCAGAGTGACCTTTGGGACCAGTCAGGCCCAGAGAGGAAGGACATGTAGAAATCAGCCAGAAGCCCCGTCACGCTTCCGCTTCCTCCAGAGCTGGAAGCACCCTGGAAGGACACAGAGAGGCAGTGACCTTCTGGAAGGGAAGTGAGGGACGGCTCTGCAAGCCCTCCCCGGCACACCCCCACAAAGGCAGCAGACTGCCAAGAGCTGAGAGACTCTCAGGTCCTATCAAGACCAGGCCAGTTCCTCCCAGTCCATCCTTGTCCGAGTGGCTGGCAAAAACCTGGATTCCTGTCCCCAAGCCTTTGAGACTAAGAAGATTTAAGATAGTGCTCATAAGCCTGCAGTTTCTGTGAATAGCGTGTCTCCCTGTCAGCCTCAATCCTTCTCCATCTTTTGCGGGTTTCCTTCTTAGACCTTCTAAGAAAGGTCCTTCTGAGAAAAATGAGCATCTAACTTGCTTATGCCACCCACCCCTGCTGCCCCTCCAAAGCTGAGGTCAGAGTGTGACTTGTGTTCCTTCCTTTGGTCACTCTTGCAATTCTAATTCTTATTTCATCACTGTCACTGTCTCTGGCTGCCATGAAACCAGGAGCATTGCCCCCTTTCTTTCCCTCTTCATCCTCCTTCCTTTGGGCCGGGGATAGTGCCAGGGATTGAACTCAGGGTCACTGGACACTGAGCCCTGTCCCAGCCCTATTTGGTATTTCATGTAGAGACAGGGTCTCACTGGGTTGCTTAGTGCCTCGCTTTTGCTGAGGATGGCTTTGAACTCTCGATCCTCTGACTTCAGCCTCCTGAGCCCCTGGGATCACAGGTGTGCACCGTCACGCCACCTTCATCCTTCTTCTTTCTGGTCCTTTCTGACTGTCCATTCCCTCAACTTTGTTTCCTCCCCAGACCGCAGCCAGGCCCTCCAGGCTCTGTCCATGGGTATAAAAGATCAGGAAGGTCACAGTGTACCCCGTATCAAAGTCAGGGTCACTCAAAAGTCAGGAAGTGAATGGGCATCTCCTCACATTGAGAACCAGAGTGACCTTTGGGACCAGTAAGGCACAGAGAGGAAGGAAATGTAGAAATTGGCCAGAAGCCCTGTCACACTTCTGCTTCCTCCTGAGCTGGAAGCACCCTGGAGGGACACAGAGAGGCAGTGACCTTCTGGAAGGGAAGTGAGGGACGCTCTGCAAGCCCTCCCGCCACACCCCCACAACTGAAAGCCAGCTAACTTCACTGACCCCAGGAAGACTCAGGGGCCAGGCAGCCTGTGGGAAGGATATGTGTGTTCCCTTGGCCCCTGCTGTGAGCCCTGGGCATTTAAAAGGGACCAGTTCTGAGACCCAACGGTCTTCTTTAAATGTCCTCTGCTAGTTGCCTGCAATCACACCGTGTTTAGAGCAGGTCCTGTGCAGACCAGGCGCTGCCACCCCCAGAACCAGACCGCAGACTCCAAGGCTCTGGCCCTGTCACCATCATCGCTATGGGGACTGATGCGCTGGGCCTTCGGGTTTGGGAGAGCGCGTGAAGGCCACAGTGGGAGACCAGAGGAGGACGCTCTACAGCAAGTAGGAGGGCAAGGCGAACACTGGGCCACACCCAAGAGTCACCCGGCCACAGCATCTGAGTACCTGGAAGTGAGGCGCGCCCAGCATGCCCCGGCCTTCCCAGCATGCCCCAGGCTTTCCCAGCATGCCCTAGGCCTTCCTAGCATCCCCCAGGCCTTCCCAGCATGCCCCAGGCCTTCCCAGCATCCCCCAGGCCTTCCCAGCATCCCCCAGGCCTTCCCAGCATGCCCCAGGCCTTCCCAGCATGCCCCAGGCCTTCCTGGTCCTTTCCATAACTGGGTCCTTGTCTTCTTTCTTATTCCCATTGGATTTCCTTGCCTCTTCCCAGCCTCTGAATGGAACCTAAAACCCATCCTCCCTCATTCTCATCCTGAGGTCCCCAAGTATCCCTTGAGCCCAATCCTGGGCCAGAGGCAGGTGTGACAGAGAGGAATGGAGCTCAGGGCCCCTCCTCGAGGAGACGGCATCTGTGGGGTTGACTGATGAGCTGGGCCCAGCTGAGGAGGTCATCTATGGAGAACACCGAGAGTCGGACAAAGCCAGCCATCGAGGCGAGAGGAGACTGTGGCGTCCAGGCCGCTCCATTAGGTGGACGTCAGAGCGACCTCAGAGCGTGGCCGACTGTCTGCAGCAATCTAGACCTGGAGACGCCTGGGAAGGCTGGTGTGGGCCTCGGTTCCAAACCTGCGCTCCCTCCTTCCCACAGGGCCCCGATCACCAGGCTCCGCTCACCAGATCTGTTCACCAGGCTCTGCTCACCAGGCCCTGCTCACCATCCCCCCTCACCATCCCTCCTCCCCAGCCCTCCTCACCA